AATACGATATAATAATATGTATAAAATGACACACAATAAATAATAATATGGCCAATAGGCAAATAATATAATGATACTTTATAACAAACTATTTGAGCCGCTAAGAATTGTATTAATATGGCCAGATAATACGATAATAATTAGCTATTTGAGCTGTAATAATACAAAAATGTGACAATTTGTGCCTTACAATATAATATTTGCCTTTACGCAAAATACGCGACGGCCTTCTCKCGACTACGGACSGAGGAAGACAATAGTTTCACGGCGGCCGTGTTAATTAATTTCACGCAACCGATCCGGCGGCGCGCGATAACCAGCTTTAATCTACATTATTTTTATATATTATATAATAATTCGCCGCTGACAATTATACAAAGTAAAAATAATTAATAATGATATACCTAATACTGGTAAAAACAAATAATATGTTGTGTGCGTGTGTATGTATCGGTCGGAAGCTGGCGATTGCGAGTGCGGGCGCTAACATCATTCTTGATACGGTTTTGTACTTGATTTGTTTTATTTCTATCTATTTGTATTAAATTAAATTATACTTTATTGACATAAACCAATGAATTTGGGTTAGGCTTCTATTAACATGAAATATGAATTTGAAAGTTATTTAACTTAAAGATAGAGTGATCGAGTGAAACCCCCAATGTTACACATACGCAACTTACTTTTGGAGACAGTTAACTCATAAGTATTATTTATGATGCAAATCTGCAATAACCTTACTCAGATCCCGTCCACTATTCTTGAGCTGCTATACACATATCATACACAATACATATCGGTCGGTGTGTGAGTGTTCTTGCGTACGAAGTATTTCGGTACCGGGCACACGAACTATTATTGTTTCGTTCTCGGCCAAAACATATTGGTGACCTCGACGTGATCGGATGAATCGTATACGTCATTTTTATACGTAATTACCATTATAACAAAAAATTAAATTATTCACTGCGTGCTATTCATTATCTAATTATATTTAATAGTATCATTACAATATAATCAATAATATATATCAGTTTACGCTTGCATCTAATCAGAGTATTGTTAGTCTCTTCTGTACTTCTCGCAAGCAATTTATTGCTTATATTGTTATGTTATTTCTTAATTATTYATTAATTTCACAATTATTTTTTCATAATTCATTGTTTTCAGAAAACAGTAATTTGATGATCGGAGTGAAGTCAAATGCAACTGTGGACATAGCAACAATAACTGCCGGAAACACACACTCAAACCAGGAATGTGGTGGTAACAATGGTAAAAAGCCACAAAGAAAACAGCTAAAGATAAAACCACCTAGAGGTGTGGTGACAGCCGCTGATATGTATGAACCTGGTTTCCGGATACGTAATGCAGGCCTTTGTTCCAATAGCACTAGGTTWTTAGTGCTGATCACTTCAGCAGCAGATCCAACACATTCTCAAAACCGACAAGCTATTCGTATGACATGGATGAACCGATATGGTCCAAGTGTGAGCATGGCATTCCTAGTAGGAACACCTCAAATGTCTGAGGCAGACCCAGTGGCTCGAGTACTGCAGGACGAAGAACAAGCACTAAAGATCCGTCTAAATCAGCACAATATTGATAATAATATCAAACCGAAAGAGAAAGAAAAATTAGAAGAACCTCTGAATGGTGATCCTAGGTTGTACCAATTTTCGCTAGACCAAAAACCAAATCCTGGAGAAGGCTTAGACGCGCATGCTATGCATGGACTGAACGAAGCAGAACAGGCTGTGCAACGAGTATTAGGACGAGAATATGGTCGATATGGTGATTTGATACAGTGCCAGTCTCGAGACACTTACACAAACTTGACTCTGAAATCTATCGCTGCTCTTGAATGGACCCGTCAATATTGCCCATGGGCTCGGTACCTATTAAAAACAGATGATGACATGTTCATTGATGTACGTAGACTACTGCGATTCATCAACAAAGTGGAAACCGAAAATGTTACAGATTCTAGTGCTAGCGGACATCATTCTCGCCCCCTTGAACCCATAAATAACTCAAATGAATTATTCACCGTAGGCACAGATATGTTTGAGTCTGAAAACACCCCTAGTTTTGAAATTGAACTGCCGCCTACTATATGGGGACGACTAGCACACGGTTGGCGTCCAATTCGACAACTTAATAGTAAATATTATGTTTCCCAAACACAATATGCTGGTCAAGTTTTTCCAGATTTTTGCACGGGACCAGCTTACCTTATGACTAGGTCAGCAGTTATTCCTTTGTATGAGGCGGCACTAGATAAAGATTTTGACATTGTCGATGATGAAGACGAAGATGGTAATCAGGAAAACAAAAAGAATAACAATGAAGAAGATTTGGATGTAAAACCATATTTAGGAAAAGACTGTGGTGATGGTAATCAGACGTTAGATGCTGGTAATGATAAAGCAACATCAAGTGTATATGTAAGCAAAAATACTATGCCGTACTTGAAACTGGAGGATGTATATTTAACTGGAGTTGTGGCTGAGCGGCTAACGCGCCGAGCAACAGAGCGACAGGCACGCCGAGAGCTCAAGGAAAAAGAAAAAATCTCTTCAAGTGCTGGTGATCATAATCAAAAATCAAGTAATGCTAAAGGTGTTGGAGACCATAGTCGTCTTGATAGTGGTAAAAATACAAAGCTGAAAACAACAGATATAATTGTGAAGGTGCGACGCATCCATGATGAACAATTTGCAAACACTAAAATCACTGGCCAAGCATTGGATCGAGCTGTATGCAATGGTCTTAATCCCAGCGATAATGTCGGTACTAATGGGAACAATGGTTTTAGTTGGTTCCAATGGTATTGGGGTGATACAGCTCTGGACAAAAACTTAGAAAAAAATAAAAAAGATCAAGGAGTAATTTCTTTGCACATGGTCAAGTATTACGAGCAGTTTGATTTATGGAACAGGCTAATGGACGGTAGGACTAAGTGTAAGTCATAAAACTAATCTTTTAAGAATTTGTGCATTTTTTTATTGCATTGCAACCACCTTCTCAGCTTTTCTGTGTATATAATAGTTGCCTAGATTATTTTTTTTATACTTTTCATCAGCTAGCAATTTTCTTAATATTTATTTTTTTATCAATGATTTTAACATTATCACATCCATAATTTTTTTTACTTCATTGGTAAAAAATATTTATATCTACATAAAGTAATTAAACCTAAAACATTAGGTAATATTTTTATAAATTATGTGTTATTTTTGTTTTTTTATGTGTGTATTCACATATGAGCACTGAACTGAATGTTTTAAACTTTTATTCATATTTGATTATTTGGTTTAGACAGTCATTCTGATTCCTGATTATAATTATAATTGTATGTATTATATTATTATYATACCAGATATGTTTACTGATTTAAAACTATACCATTGTATTCTCAGTTCTGCGTATTAAAGTATTATTGTTGTATCTTAATCATTAATATATAAGATATAATAATATAATATATTATATTTTTCATTGTTATCATTAAGTACTATCCTTCTTGGTCCCCTTACTATTGAATATTTTTTAAATTTAAGACTTATGTCATGTTGTAAAATAATTTATATAAAAAATGAGTTACTATTATGTTATATATATTTTTTTTATATATCTACACATACGTTTTGTTTTACTTGCCCACTGTTTCTTGTTATGAACAAATTAAATCCCACTACCAGCAATAAGTTTACTATTACGTGTTAATTTTTTTTTATACATATAATATGCAGTAGAAATCCTTATAACCAGCATCGCTTAGAGCAAAATACTGTTTACATTAAGCAAAACGTTAGGTCTTGACATAAGCTCATATAATTTATATATTAAATATACGTTTACAACAATAAGTATGGTTATTATGAGTTATCGGTTATAACAAGTAAAATATAGTGAATTATAAAATTCTATGCAGTTTTCATTAAGCTGAAAATACGTTCCGACATCGCTTCGAAGGTGGTTTTGATAATACATAGTTAATAATTTTTTCAAGGTTAGGAGCATTGTTTTTTTTTTTTAATTGAACCCATGTTTATCAGACGAGGTAGCTTCAAAAGTATTATATGATGCATATTTTACCAAAAATAACTTCAATTCTCTTATTTCTTCAAACAAAAAATTGTCTTCTATTTTAATTAAAAATGTGCCTTCTACCTTTGTAATTTCGTGTATATTTATATTTTCGTAATTTTTTTGTACTTAGTGATAAGCAACTGAATAATTGTAATTAATTATTTTCGATAGGAAACCACTTATCCAAATAAGAAATACATTGATCATAAAACATATCAGCCTCATCTAAAAGGTGTTTATTTTTTTTTAGCTCCTATATTATTGCAGAACGAAATGTAGCACCATAATAAAACTTTTAATTAAATCATTTCTTAACTTTTCCATTATATTATATAGATCAACAATTAATGATTCACTGGATTCAAGTTTCATTATAATAGATTTTAATAAATGACTGATATTCGCTAAAAATCCCAAATAAGCTTCTGCTAGTTCATAGTTCATGATTAAAAAAATCAGACAATATTTTTGAAGTATTTTCTTGAGATAAAAATAACGATTTAACTGGTTCAAAATTGTTTATTAATCTTTCGAAAGCTGGAATTAAACTTAGCCACATGGTTGGAACATGCCTTAAAAGTTCACACCACTCCGTGTCTAACCAATCGAAAAAATACTTTAGGGAGGTTGTTTTTTTTTGTTGAATTACTGAACTCGTTGTAAGATATTTTATGATAATTATTTCTAAATCGTACTTCAGTACTTTACAMGCACATTTCGCCATGTTGTGTATGATATGGCAAGGGTATCCAATTCCCAAGATTTTAGAATTTGTTTTTTTATAATTCAACAAGTAGACTTTGGTTTTTACCAAAATTAACTGGTGCATTATCTGCACAGTATCCAGTTACGTTTTCAATATTTAATTTATATTTGGCTATATTCTCCAAAAGAGAATTAGCAATAGAAGTTGATTTTTCACATTCTAGTGAATAAAATGAAAGAAGCTTTGTACATTCATCTACATCTTTTTTTWAAAATATTGTACTAAAAATTAAAATGTTTTAATATATCCTTTATTTGAGGCGTCAATTTTGCTATAGAAAATGATTATCTCTAAGATCGTTTACAACTTGTTCTATAAGTACTATAGAGTGCCAAAACATTACTAACAATTTTGGTGGCTTTTTTTCTACAACATCGATATTTTGGAGTTTATTTTGAATCTGGAAATATTGAATGAAATAATGTTCCCGCACATTCATTCGATTTATAACTATGTGTTTGTTTAACAATATGGTAAATGAAAGCGGTTTCAGCAGCAGATACTTAATCTTCGTCCGTGGATAAAGTAATGCATGAAGTTATAGTAGAAATACGTTTTTATTGATTTTTTACAAATTGAGAGTTTTTAATGGTTTTTTCGTTTTTTTAAATCATTTTCAGTTTTCACCACCATGCGATATAGAAATGTTACGACAAAATTTACAATGGGCTTGATGTTTATTTTGGGCAGACCTAATCCATGCATAATTTTTAAGCCAAGCATTATTAAATTTCACTAACCTTTTGACTTTTTTCTTAGGTGGTGACATATTTTTATTTACATCGTTGTCATCACAGCTAGATTCAGACATTTTTTTTCACCTATAAGCTATCTGCTATACGGCTATACACTGGCGGAGTGACGACACTCGCGAAAAGACGGTTAGTGGCTATACCGCTATACTATATCAGTACCTAACGGATACTTTTTTGTATTTCCATATTGGCCATGTAAATATGTAATATACCTAGCAAAAAGGTAAAAGTCGATAAGATAGCTAGTAGTAATAGTATGTACGATAACATTAAACTAAAACGATAGCCGAACGCAGGTATTTCCTATAATCTTTAAAAAGTAGTTATAAAATCTAAAAACAAATCAATATTGTTTTAATGTTAGATGCTACAAATATTTTGGTCCAAGTAGTTGTAAAAAAATCRGGATTTTCTTGTCCTGATGGCTTGTAAGACGGGACACGGGATAAAAATTTAAAAAAAGCACAAAAATCGTGACATTTGCGTCCCGCCAAAGATTGAAGTGGGGCGCGGGACAAGTATATTAAAAATCGGGAATGTCCTACCAAATCGGGACGTATCCCAACCCTATCTCAGCGCTTTCTAGAATTACTACAGCCCCCCCCCCACATTTCAAATACTATTTGCACCTATGGAAATCATGTCTAGGCCACTGACTCCATCATAATTTAAATTTAACACTTTTAACTTACAATAAAACACCAAACAAAGACCAGCCAATATCGGTTCAATTTAATATACTGGTGTTGGGTAATACTAGAACAATAACGCATCAAGGCGGTGGAGGGGAAATAAATGAACCGCCAAAATCATTTTTTTTGCTGATGGTTTTTCCATATGTTTTTGTATTTACCTGTATAGACCTAGAACATCATTCTAAATAAAAAGAAAAGGTTGTTTTGACTTCAAACATTTTGGTGGTGATGTGATATAGTTTTACCAAAACCATGTAAAGCTAAATATTWTTAAAATAATTGCAAAATATAGTAGGTACAAAATAGCTAGACTGGAGGTCATATTTTAGGGCATTATTTAGATTGAGGATGATAAGAGATGACTTAAAATAGTTGAATAAGTATTAATAAATGTTCAAATATGCGTGAAAGCATAGTTATAGGTACCTACTAGAGTTACGACTGCTTCGAGCATTACTCGTTTGTGAAAGAAAGTTAATGGTATTTGTATATATTTTTTATAGTAAGAACATATATTATTATCTAATCAATTTTAAAGGTAAAACGACAAAAACAACATCAATCACAAAAAAATTTATGAGCGTGATTGTGGACGACAATAATCATTGTCATAATCATATCATTACATGTCATTCGAATGACAGACCGATGCCCACCCCATAGCTGTCCAGTATCGCATGGTTCAGGAACATACTCAGTGACACGGCCATCCGATCGCCTAGCCGCTTTTCCCACAGGCTACTGACAATGCCGTTTGTGTCGATGGCTGCCCGAAACACGGACGTGTCGGACAGAATGCGAAACGCCAACCGGGAAGTGACCACTGAGCTGGTAGGGTTCAGGTCGAACATAGTGCCTGTTTGTAGCCAATCGGTGCAATGATGATAGTACGCCAGCTTGAAGGCCCAGTTTGTCATGTTCACTCTTCCACTGGCCAGATAATTTGGCCCGGCATACTTGGCCACCAGATTCGGTCTTAACTGAGATTCATTGAGACCGCAAGTGGTATCATTTTTGAACGCCAGATTTACGCCCAAGGACAGCCGATCCGTGACGGACTGCCAACGAACACGATAACGGTAAATATTAATGAGGGATGAGTCAATTTTTCGATGACAAATGTAGCTAAAATTMTATCCACAATTTAAAAATAATTGTACATACTACAAACCTTATCTAAAAATACATAGATCACGTATACATATTTAACATATTTTATACATTTGCATAATAATTACGTTATATTTAAGGCTCAGATTTATATGTATTTACACGACAAAAATACTTATAACAAAAAATAAAATAATGATTGCAACTTATAACAAAATACATTTTAAGTTTTTAAATTCAATTGAGACGATTTTTTGTTTCTATTCTATCGTAAAATCGTTTTATGCATTCGATGTTACCTGCAATAGATTTTTATAAACACATAAATGGTGAACAATGAACACAGATTAAGCCCACGAAATACGCACTACATTTATTATGTTAATCTTATTACGATAAAATATCTGATATTTCAGCCGATAAAATCGTATCCAGAAGTAACTAAAAAATATAATAGTAATAATAATATGTTCTATACGTTGAATGCTCGTTTGACGATAGTTTGTCCGCGTGGAACTTGTGTTATAAGCCACGTCAAAACTCAAAATACGTCCGCTTGACAACAATGACCTGACGAAATTTTACTACAAAAGTCATGTAAGTAGGTACTGTTGGTTTACTTATTGTAAGCTTTCAATCACTCTAAACTCTGAAGAAAACTTGTTAAAACAGTTAAATTGTCTAAATATGTGGGAAAAATTGAATAATTTTGATATATGTAAAAACAAATTATTCATGACAAAATATATAAAAACATGTAAAATCAAACATAACTCATTTTATGAGCATGACTTTCTGGAATAAGTTTATCATTTTATGGTAAAAATATGTATTTACATATAAATCCGAGCTCTAATTATTTCCTACTAGCAAGGTTGGCAGTATCAAAGATATAATTGTATAATAGGTATAGTATCTTGTATAATATTATCATGATACATTTTATTCTAGTATCATGAATCTTTTTTCCAAAATAGGTACAAGATACTATTATTGTAAACATTTGTTCTGTAACCTAACCAAGACATTTTTACGAAAAATTGTCCTGGTGCAACGAGCCGAATTTGACGATAACGTAAAAATGAATTACATATATTCTTATAATTTGTAAGATAATTTGAAAAACATAAAATTAAATTAAGGTACCTATATTATGGCCGTATGCACGTATACGATATGCATATTATATTATGCAGTCTTAAAGATAAGCACTAAATTAAAATTTTCGTTCTTATAAAATATTAATCTGCTACCTATACCCCGTTTATAGGTATTTCCACATAAAATAGAAAATAATATCAAAAGTAAAGATATTTATGTAGAATTTATATAATTTATTAATATGGTAAGTTAGAAAGTGTTATGCCTAATTATCATTGAATTGAATATTTAAATTGTCAACATTATATTGAAAAAACGAAGAAAATTACATAATGATATACGGAATTGAATATCGTTGTAAGATTATAAAATATTTTAAACACTAGGTATCTATCATTATGTATAAAAATATACTAATAGCATCATCACATGAAATGAATTTTACAAACAATATGAACTATGGGCCATAAAAGAGATAGCATTTTTAAAGGGCTACGAAGTGCCTAGTTCAGCTAGTTTAATATAATAATTATGACTATAAAACTATTAATATTTATATATAGAAAGTATTGAGTGAATTGTGTATGGACATTTTACATTTAATAGTTAATTAAATTCGATTGTAAGTATAAAAGTATCTTGTATCTTGATACTTTTTTTAGTATCTTACCCAACCCTGCCTACTAGTTGTATTATAGAACTACTCCCGATGAAAAATGAATACGTCATAACATCATAATAAAAAAATTGCATAATATCGTAACGAAAATATTTAAAAAAATAGTTAAAATGGGAAAAATAATATGTACAATAGTTTTTACTATATAAGGTAAAAAGTAGTGTTGTTTTTATTCCAGAATACAGTTTGACAACGTCGCACGGGTTTAACACATTTTTATTAAAATTATTTAATATATTACAATATTTTTAGTATAATTGCGGACAACGATGAGGTTATTGAAATTAAAGTGAGAACCGTTACTCAAGAAGACCCCTTGTTATAACTGATATTGACAGGAGCCAACTAGTATTTTGCTATGATTTTAAAAATTAAAAAATATTTATATATTTTCATTATTTAGTGACATCACACAAAGACAAACTTTGTAACAAACAATACCCTGTATACTTAACCCTTTAAAAATGATTTATTTATTCGTAGACTTAAAATTATATGTCTTCATATACATAAACAGAGTTTTATACTATGTATATATTTAGATACCTACAATAGCATAATACGTATGATTATAAGTTTACTTGCAAGATTTGAAAGGCGCATTGCTTGAACAGTAGATCGATGCATAAGGACAGAGTCCTGGTCGGAAACCAGTAGTCTAAGTTGACCTGTACTTTGACCGGACGGGTCCATGCGCACACCTGTCCAGTCAAGGACGCGTCCAGCCAGTTCTCACCGGTTTCCAATCGGCTGATCGCCTCGAAGTTCCACTTTCCCGACTTGGGGTTCAGGTCGGTCATAGCGGACGCTTTCAGACCATCCCTCTGCGCCATTTCGTACAAACCCGACACCCAGAGGCCGCTTGGCTTGGGACCGTTCGTGTCCAGCTTTAACATCATCGTAACTGGCCAACTCAGCTTTTCGGCTTTGGTCAGCATGTGGATCCGGCAGCCCGTGAATGGAATTGGCATCAGGCTATTAACGGACCGGAAAACATCGCGCACAAGACCCGTCGGTGGGGATTGGTTCACATCGCAATCGTCGGTATCCGTGGTCATGATGACGTTTGGAGCCGTGCACAGTGTGGTCTGCCTGAAACTTACCTCTATTCAATGTGATATAAAATATGTGGCTGACCTTTGTAAACGCGTCAAAGGCCACTGCTGCATGATATATTGTACAATATTAAGTGCCAGTCATTGAACTACGCCTATCCTGCAAATCTGGCCGTATCGTGCTGCGGTCACGATTATATAATATGGTTGTCCCAGCGATTATTGACGATGGAGTGAAGAACAATATTCTAGGATTAAAATATCTGTTCACTTATGTCTACTTGTTATTATTGTTGTACATCACACAACAAACAAGTATTTATAACCGTTTATAAATATATATTAAATATTGTACGCGTTTTTTACCTATACTAAGATGTAAGCGGAAATTATTTAATCGATAAACATACCCAACAAGGTACTATTGTCGCCATAGTAGCGATTGTGTGATTATGCAAGTAACGTTAAATGTAAATATTATAAACCAACCGTCGAGGAAATAAAATGGAGGCGAAATTATTTCTTTTCCTATGAATAACGAAAATATCAATACTCATATCATCCACACAACYTCACTTTGTTAAACATAAACATAAAATACAAAAGCCACTAAACTTAAAAATGTATGTCCCACAAGAGAGATTCAACGACATAAATCAATTTTAATTTTCTTAGAACTACAAAATGCTGTTACAATTTYTCTTGAAACCATTTCTTCGTGGCAAGACAAAACTACTTGTTCTACAGCTTTACAACTATTATCCGCAATTCAGAATGTTGAATTCCAGATATCCCTCCGTACTACTGCCAAGGTCTTTGGAATAACTTCTCCCTTAAGGCGTTTATTACAAACAGAAAATCTAGACTTATCAACTGCAATGATTCTCGCAACAAACATTGAAGAAATGTTAATTAAAATGCGTAATGATAGTGAAAAATAATTTAATTATATTTTCAATGATGTTCAAAATATATGTTCTGATGGGATGTTGATGTTAAAATTCCACGAAAAGTTGGCAGGCAAGTACACCGTAGTAATATTGAAACAGATTCACCTGAAGTATATTTTCGTGTTTCAATATTCATTCCATTTTTAGATTTTTTTATTACCCAAATTCAAAGACTTTTGTTAGATCATATACAAATTTTGTCAAGTTTTCACTGTCTCTTGCAATCAAAAATAAATAATTAAGAATTCAAAAAACAATTTGAGACTGACATTGTACATTTAGTACGTCGTTWTGAAAAAATCGTTAACTGCATTGAACAACAAATTATCAGAGAACTTAGATTATGGTGGAATTATGTAAACCAAATGAATGACAATCTTAAAAATGCCCATTCAGCTTTACTTGTATGTGATGCAAAAATATTTCCAATTATACGAAAACTTTTAATTATTCTTGTTACTCTACCAGTAACAACGACCACACCAGAGAGGACTTTTTCGACTCTTCGTCGTATCAAAACCTATCTACGAAATACAACCGGAGAATCTCGCTTAAACGGATTAGCAATGCTAAATATTCATCGGGATATTGAAATCTCAACAGACGCAGTACTAGATGAATTATCAAAATCATCGAGACGAATTAATATTAAGTTATAACTTAATAGGTTAGTGTTTTTAGTCCATAAAATATACAT